GCCCAAGGGAACTCAGGGGTGGCTGCAGGGCCCCACAAAGGGGCTTTGAAGACATTCCTTTTGTGTAGCGTCCCCTCAGGCATTTGCCAGGCTCTGGGCTGTAACCTTATGCTAATACTTTGCTTTAGGTGTTACTCTTATTATGTAGCTGCAGCCCTCTAGACTTCAGTAGCAGATTTTCATCCCTTGCATGGAAAAAATGTCTGTGGTTCATTGTAAAATTAAAATAAAAGTTTGCAGAGCCATAAAAAAGAATAGGTTACAACTTTGGATCATTTCTTGAACTGATAATTCATTTGTACGTTAGGGTGATTCTTAGTATTCCTCTCTTTTTCTACCTGTACTTTTGTGGTCCAGTTATATAGACCTGTAGGAGAAACACCCTGCCATTTTGTATCATCCCTGGATGAACTCGTGGAACTCAACGAAAAGCTCTTGAATTGTCAAGAATTCGCTGTGGACTTGGAGGTACTCCTACTTGAGAAATATAAAATTAATACTAATTTAAATTACTTTTTGGTAAAAAGTCAGAACTTTGTTTTATAGCTGACTTTGCAAAATCAGTAGAGGAAAGCCTCATAAAACCTTTTTTTCCTATCCCCCTTCTTCCTGCGTGGTTTAGCACCACTCTTACAGGAGCTTCCTGGGGCTGACCTGCCTGATGCAGATTTCTACCCGAACAGAAGACTTCATCGTTGACACCCTGGAGCTTCGAAGCGACATGTACATCCTCAATGAGAGCTTCACTGACCCAGCTATTGTTAAGGTCAGCCAGCCTTTTCCAGTGCTTGCTTGCGAGTGCAAGATTGAACTGCTTTTCTGTTGACTGTTCCATTGTTTCAACAATAAAGTTGAGAGACATCATGGTAATTTCCCACTCTGGGGCGCCACATGCTAAACGGCTTTTGTTTCTGAATCCCTGTTAGAACAGCTAAGACTTAGCTCATTACCACCCAGAGAAAACTGTTAAATCACTTTAATGACGACTGCAACGAGCCGCGCCATCAAGATTGCTCGAACTTAATGACTCCCCTTGAAGCTCGCCGAGCTGCTTAGAATCATTGGCTGTTGGCAGACGTTAAGGATGTGTAGTTAGGAGGATTGAGGCTGCAGTCCAAACTCAAAGAGGCATTTAAGCTGAACCCATCTTAAGCTTTCTTCTGGCTTCAAATTCCTGTGTTTTAATAACCTAAGGGCAGAGTGGCCTCACATGCATTGTACTGCACGATTCTGGGTTTGTTGTCAGGTCTTCCATGGTGCCGATTCAGACATAGAATGGCTACAGAAGGACTTCGGGTTGTACGTGGTGAACATGTTTGACACCCATCAGGCCGCGCGCCTTCTCAACCTGGGCAGACACTCTCTCGATCACCTGCTCAAGCTCTACTGCAACGTGGACTCCAACAAGCAGTACCAGCTGGCTGATTGGAGAATTCGGTCAGTTTCCTCTTGGCGAGGAAACGTGGATGGGGGATGGCACGGGTGTTTGCTAACCTCATCCAGGGAGACCTGTGTTCAGCCAGTAATAGTCTTTGGATCTTGAGTTGTTGGGCATTTCTCCAGCTGTTTGCAGTGGCATAAGTGAAACGGAAGTTTTAGTATAATGTGGAGTTGTGCTGGGCTGCTCCTGTTACACTGTGCTTCGTGGAACAGGGGCTGAAAGAGACGAGCTGTGTCAGTACTCGTCCGCGCCTGTCTCTTGTCTGAAACTCGGTTCTCCCTAGTAGAGATGGTTGTACGTATGTGAGATGATCTCCCATAGGTATGCGAGACTTCTAAGGTACATGGCTGAGTTAGCCTTACAGTAATTGTTGACTGTAGTATAAGGTTATAATGAAGTCCCGCCACACTTTCTGGGACTCTTGTTCAGCTTGATCGTTTTCAGTCGGCTCGCTTCCTCTCTAAGCTTGCAGCTGATGTATGAAGAAACCACTAAGCTTTTCTCCCATCCTGCATGCCAGAATCTCTAATGAAATGTCGATAGAACTACTGTATTGGCTGTGAAAGAATCTTTGATAGCAGAAGGAGCCAAGCAAACCCGAGCGCCCACAGAGTAGACAAATGAAGGTGCTGCTCCTGGGGGAGCTAGTGAAATAATTTCCTCTGTTGCGATCGCAGGCCGCTGCCCGAGGAAATGCTCAGCTATGCCCGAGATGACACCCATTACCTGCTTTACATTTACGATAAGATGAGGCTGGAACTGTGGGAGCGGGGCAACGGGCAGCCCACGCAGCTGCAGGTGGCATGGCAGCGGAGCCGGGATGTCTGCCTCAAGGTAAATGCGCCGACACAGACCCGGACGCCCTCCTCATTTCTGAAGAGGTCCCGGTTTTTTCCGATGCTCTTCACATCTGCAAAAAGAGCCAAATATTTTGAAGAGCCTGGGACATAATTTTGATTCACGTGGATCTTGAGTATTCTGTACCATTTTACAGAAATTCGTCAAACCTATCTTCACGGACGAGTCCTACCTGGAACTCTACAGGAAGCAAAAGAAGCACCTCAACACACAGCAGTTGACAGCCTTCCAGCTGCTGTTTGCCTGGAGAGATAAAACCGCTCGGAGGGAAGATGAAAGCTATGGGTAAGGGATTAGCGATTCTTCTACTATTTCTCCTAGACTGAGCAGGCCCGGTAACAAGGAAATAATGGGCTTTTTTCCTGCCATGAAAGTTGGCTACGTTTTCCCCTGGTTGTAGCATTTACTAGAACTTGCTGGCTGAGTGTAATGTGGTCTCATTGTGTGTTTTCTTCCAGATATGTACTGCCAAACCACATGATGCTGAAGATAGCTGAAGAGCTGCCTAAGTGAGTCAGAGCTCATTAATACGTCCCAACTTTCTCAGTAGAGGAAGTTTGTCCTTCAAAATCCAGCTTCTCTGATTACTACCTCAAGCCTGGTTTACTCAGAGCAGATGGGGGCTCTAAGGAAGTTTGCAAAGGAATTCAGGATTTCTGCTCTCAGGCTGCCATTTAGGACCTAAAACTCCTGAACCAGAACCATTGCAGTGGCTCTGCCTTCTATGGAGTCCTGTGTGAGTCCGAGCTTGCGGCATCAGCGCCCGCTTTTAAGAGATGAAAGTCTCAGATTTTCTCACCTGTACTTCCTTCCAGATGAAGGCATCTCAGAATTTTAAATGTTTTATAATGTTACCGTAATTGAAGTGCAAGCACTGAGTCAAAAAGCATAGTCTTGTGTTCACCCCATTGCAGAACTGCAGATCAGCAGGGCCATGGCACTTCTCCCCCACGTCTCCCATTAGCAGGAGGCAGGCTGTCAGAGGAGTCTGCTCAGCCGCATGCAGCGCAGTGCGTGCCTGCGCAGCCGGCCTGGGCTTCCCCGACATGAACGGCTCCTTGTCTTCACCTTAGCCGTAGCGCTCCAGCTTTACCTGGGCATTGTTCTCGTCTGGAAGCCTTTGAGGGCTGTGTTCTAAGTGACCAGCTGCATGTGTTCTTACTTGTCTTCAGGGAGCCTCAGGGCATCATAGCTTGCTGTAACCCTGTACCACCTCTTGTACGGCAGCAGATCAATGAAATGCATCTTCTAATCCAGCAGGCTCGAGAGATGCCTCTGCTCAAGGTAAGCAGCTTTCTGCTAAAGGTTCCGGCTCAGCAGGCCTGCTCTGTCCGTCACACTTTCCTCCTTGTAGTCTCCTACATACATGGCCTGGTATCTGTTCTAAAAAAAAAACCAACCAAGGAAGTAATAGGGCTTAGGAAACCCAGTGGGTATGTCTCTTTACGATAGTCCAAAGCTAAAGCTTATCCTTACTTTATGACCTTAGTTTCGATGATCCAACAGCAAGTAATGTGTGGTGACTGGGCTGGTTAGCTGTTCAGAGGCACCTAACCTGGTGTGATAAAGTGGAGTAGGGATCTCAGTACAGGGAGCTCATTTTGGAAGCCTGGCTGTGGTCCAGATGTGAAGGGATAGTGCCCTGAGGTGTGTGGTGGTCACAGAAATGGAAAGGAAAAGACAGGGACAAGAAGCATCATCAGAAGAAAAGATTGACAGGACTTAATAACATGATGAAAACGGCTGCCGTTTCTTTCTGAGTACTAAGTTAAGTGTTCTCTGAAAGGCAGGTGGATTTGGAGGTCACGGAGGTAGAGTCAAAGATAACTCACTCCAAATATAAAGCCTGGGTGACTGGGAAAATATGCACACCTTGGGTAAAAATGGGAAAATCAAAAAGAGCTAATTTTGTGAAGGAGATGCTAAAGTGTAGACAGATTTATGTGAAAGCAGGAAATCCAGCCAAAACTATGGCTGCGGGGTGCGGGGTGGGGTGTGTGTGTGTGTGTGTGAGAGAGAGAGAGAGACAGACAGATGCGCCAGCGTGCATGTGTGTGTGTGGCCTGTCAGTGATGCGTGTTCACGTAGTAGATTGCAGGTTTTGATTTGTATTTTATTGGGAGTTTTAGCGTGTTGCCTCTGGTATTATCAGTGTGTGGTAAATCGTGTTTGTACTTTTTCGGAAGATTATTGATTCAGGACGACTTCAAATCAGTCCCCTTGAGGTGAAAAAAACTGAGGATAAACACATTTACAATAATCTTCATGTTAAAATTTCTTTCTTAGCTCCACAGTTTGTCCAAGTAAAGAGACAAGCGCTGGCTACTAGAGAGAGTCTTTTTCAGGCTCTTCGGAAGCCTTCTGTGTTGTGCCTAGCCATGATAAAAGGTTTTATTCTTTGATTCAACAAATAATTACTGAACACAGTAATTATAGTGCCAGGCACTGGATGGGGCGAAGGGATGAAGGAAAATCTCTGGGCTCGTGAGAAACAGTCTAGTGAAGGGAGACAGTCTGTCCTGAAGGAAAACAAAATGTGTCATCACATTTAGGCTACTTTCCCCCAAATTCTCTTTGTTTTTCTTCTTAGTCTGAAGTTGCAGCTGGAGTGAAGAAGAGAGGCCCACTGCCCAATCCCGAGGTAGAGTGATGTATCTTCTTTGGGGAAGATACAGTCCAAGCCAGTGCAAAATAACCCTCCCGTCGGGCTAGCACCAAGCTTTTGGCGGCCAGCTTCTGCGTGCCTGCAAGCTTTTTATGATGGGCTGTGGGTTTCCTTTTGATGCAGAAATTGGAGAATGTTCTCTTTGGACCTCATGACTGCTCCCACGCCCCTTCCGATGGCTCTCCTGTCACCCCAACCAACGGTAATGCCGAGGCCTCTGGAAGCCTGGAGAGGCTGGGAAAGTGCCTGGTGTGCAATCCAGGAGGCCTTGAGCGTGCTGGCGTCTGTCCCCCTAGGGCCCGTGCCAGCGCAGAAGCAGGCAAGCCTCTTCCATGACGGGAGAGAAGAGGAAGAGGAGGAGGCCCTGCTGGGTCCCCAGTGCCTTATCGCCACTGCCGTCATCACCTTATTTAACGTGAGTAATGTGAACCCACAGAGATTTAGGGGGGCTCGTGTCTGGACGGTTGCATCTGCCTTTGAGACTGATGCCAAAAGTAAAACCCAGCAGCAGTGAGGTTAGGCATGGAGGCGATGGGCGAGGTGGTTTGCTGTTCTGGATGAGGGGGCCCGTGAGAGGTGGGTGGAGGATTCCCTGTGAGGAAATCTTCAAGGAAGGGCTGACGTCTTGATACCCGCTAATGCCTGGCAGGGAGGAGGACCTGGGCTGCAGTGACACCCAGGCAGGACATCTCCCACACAGCCGCCTAAAGGGACGAAGTGAGTTGTCTTCAATGAACTGTAGCATGTGTGCTGCTGTACCTTCCAGATAATGCCAGGCCGTCCAGGGTGCTCAATGCAAGAGAAAATTTGGAAACGTATTTCTTTACACGAGGGCTCATGAGAGGTAGTGAAGAGCCTGATATGCAGGCACTAGTAAGTGGGTACAAGCTCACTTCCCCTTCCAGAAAGGCTCTGAGGCATGGTAGGTCATGACCCCATTCAGTCTGGAGACCTGGTGTGGCCAGCCCGGGCCTGGCAGTGTTCCTGGAATATGCGGTAGGCTGTGACAGAGCTTTACCTCAGTCTGTTCTACCCAGCAGGCCTCTGAGACATGTGAGTATGGTGTTCTGGTGAAGGCAGATGCTATAGGTTCTGAAACCACAGGCTCTTTGCAAAAGGAAGATTGAGTGCATTTGTTGGTCCAGATGGATGAATGCTGGAATGACCAGGGAGGAAACGAAAATAGAGATGAAACTCTGAATACTGCAAACAGATGTGCTAGAAAGGAAACATCATAATTTCTAGAAAGAAAGAACCAAGAAAGAAGCAATACCATCGACTTGGATAGAGACAAGTATCAGGCTTAGCAAATGCTCAAGTGACATAAAGCTGGGTGGTTCAGTAGGTTACAGGACTGCAGTTCACAGCCAGGCCATCACGCTGGAACGCTGGGCCAGAGCCAGGAAGGTGAAATGCCACCTGCAGAGCGTACTACCTGGGAGTTCAGCCTCTTTTTCACTTAATTACGTCAAATTGGCTTGGGTCTTGCGTCAGCAGTTGGTGAGGAAAGAGGCCGGGGGGCTCTAGCTGACCCCAGGGGCAATGAGCCATCAAGGTGATGACGCGTCAGGATGTGAGCATGCACTTCCGGGGGGAACACGGAGGGGCCCCGCTGAGTCTAAAAGAGGCTGTAGCCTCCTGTGTCGGTGTGGCGGGACGTAACTACAGAGTAAGCCAAAGGACTTACTCTTTTTATGAATGAACTCGTTTAATGAATGAACCCAGTCAAAAGCAACGTTCTTGCATCATTTCATTGATTACCCATAAAGGTTTATAATTATAAATTTCAAGTGAGTATCAGGCTACGACCTCAAGTTCTAGAGCCAGAGAGACCTGGGTTTAAATCCTTGACCTGCCCCTGTTAGCTATAAGGCCCTGGAAGACTTTCTTAACCTCTCACCAAGATGGTGAGAGTAATACCCCATGCCTCCGAGGTTGTAAGGACATAGGGAGACTCATTGATTCACTAAATATGTATTAAATGCCCTACAGTGTGCTATTATAGTTTATTCTAATGCCTGATACATGGGAGAGGCTTAAAAACATTAGCCATTGTTATTATTTTCTTGCATCTTAATGTCACTAAATGATTACGGTTATAAATGATCACTTTCTGTTTCTGCAGGAACCTAGTGCTGAAGAAAATGGAAAGGGTGCATTAACAGTTGCACAGAAAAAAGCCCAAAATATAATGGAGTCCTTTGAAAATCCATTTAGGATGGTAAGTAAGAGCTGTGTATGTTAGGGCTGACAGAATATGCAGAGATCTCTGCAGCCATAGGTGTTTTCCCCCAGAAAAGAAGCCAAGGCTCTTCGGAGAGAGCACAGTATGTATTGGTTGTCCCTGGTGACAAGTTGGGAGATGAGGTCTCCTAAGATGAAACCAACAAGAAACCCCCGTGAGAGCCACTGATATCTGGGTCCAGACTCCATTTCCTCCGGCGTTTAACGTGACTGTTTCTGTTTCTCTAGTTTCTGCCTTCAGTCGAACACCATGCGCACATTTCTCAGGCAGCAAAGTTTGATCCATCATCGAAAATCTATGAAGTAAGTGAATTTGTCATCCTTTCTAAGAAAAGGGGTCTTCTTAATTATTTGAACCAAGTTTCTGTTTTAAACAAGCCCATCCGTGAACTCCCTCAAAACAAATGCAAAACTTCAATGCTTTATATAAAAGCCTTGTTTCTAGAGAGAGGGGCCAGAACTTGAAACTGATTCTCAAAAGCATTTGGGAACCTTTTAAGAAACAGGTTTTTGGGTTTTGTTTTGTTTTTAATTGAAGATTAATGTACATGTATTAAAGTACATAGATTGTAAACGTACAGCTTGATGCATTTTTTCATATGACTATTTAAGGCTCTTAAAGGTGACAGCTTAAATTTTAAAACACTCTGTTTTATATTGTTTGGTTTGTTTTTAACAGCATTATGAATAAGAATAAGAAAACACCTTCCCTGGATCCCCATGAGATGCTCCTGGGAGCCAGCGTGTTAATTGTCTCTTAAAAGCCTGCTTCCTCCCTGCAGGAAGCACCTGCTTTGACCAGATGGGTGGCCTGGCCCCCTCTGCTCTTTCATTAGGCAGCGAGACTCAGGCCCAAACCCTGACGGGCCTCAGCCCTGTTGCTGGTGATTAGCTTGTGGTTTTTAAAGATGGGGAGTCAAGTGGAGGTTTTGCCTTCAAGTGGCACATCCAGCCCCCATACACCTCTTACCTGCCGTGCTTACCTTTAATACCACCTGGATGTGCTCTAAATGCCCCAGGTAAATGTGGTGTCGTAAAGAAGCCCACCAGGCTTGCAGAGGCCCTGCCTTGAGTCCCAGCTCCACCATTTACTAACCGTGTCCCCGCAGACGAGTTATTGAGTTCTCTGAGCCTGTTTCCTGTCTCTAAAGTGGGGTGATGATACTATTGTCCCAAGATTGTAGCAGGGACTGGATGAGATGATGGATATGAAAGCATCGGCCCAGTGCCTCCTGGAACACAGTTGTACTTCTCCTTAATAAGTATTTTATAAATAAAACCAGCATGAGATTTTATTTTTTGTGTCATCCGATTTGGAATTTATGACTTAGCATGTGTGCAGTTACCAGGTTAGCCTGCCCTGCGTCACCTCATTAAAAAAAATAAAGCATTCCTAGGTGGCTGAGTTTTGGAGTTTTTTTGTTTGTTTTTTTTGTTTTCATTATAGATCAGCAACCGTTGGAAGCTGGCAAGCCAGGTACAGGTACAAAAAGAATCTAAAGAAAGTGCCAAGAAGAAGGCAGCTGAGCACACAGGTAGCATTGGCTTCCTTGTAAATGCAGCCAGCCACGTGTTTTGGTTCAGGAATAGCCCTGGTACACCATCGGTCTGTTTATTCAGCCAGTCAGCACAGTGCCAGGCTCAGTAGCGAGCAGAGCAGACCTGGCCCCTGCCCTGTGCAGCTGCCCTTCTCCTGAGGGGCAGTGGACAGTAATTGAGGGAAATGTATGTCCTGTCAGACGGCAGTAGGTGTGAACGCACAGAGAGGGGTAGGACGTGCTGGGGGTGGGTGGGCACCAGGGTGTGGGGGCTCTTTCTACACGGTGATTAGAGAAGGCAGCCTGTCGTCAGCGGGACACTGAGCAGGCGGCAGCCTCCAGAGGAAGACTGTTCCGGGGTGGTGGCTCACTGAGCACGCTCAGGGTGGCGAGGAGGCCAGTATGTGAAGCCGAGGGGACATGGAAGAGAGGCAGGAGGTGAGGACGGAGATAAGCAGGGTATGGACGTTGGCGGGTGGGTTCCAGGTGAGTCGGGCAGCTCGGAGGGCTGTGAGCAGGGCAGAGCAATGACATGAAACCTCAGAAAGGTCACTGGCTGTTGCGTTGAGAGGACAGCGTGTAGGGCGGGGGCGGGAGCCCAGCCAGGAGACACGGCGGTGATCCAGGTGACAGGTGACGTGGCTTGGACAGTGTGGTAGCAGAGGAGGTGGTGGAAGGTGTCAGAACTGGATGTACCCTGTAGTAAAGCCAACAGCATTTGATGACGGGCCAGATGCGAGAAAAAGGAAGGAGCTGTGGGTACAAGAAGGGTGTTGTCCTGAGGAACTAGGAACATGGGGCTGCCATCATGGCAAAGACCAGCGAGGGAGCAGTTTGAAGCGGAAGGGGTGTTGGTTCTGGTCCTTGACATGTTGTCGGTGAGATTCCTATTAAACGTCCTCAGAGATGTCAACTGGGCCATTGCACGGGTTTGGGTTCTTGGGAGTGGAGGGGTGCGGGTTGTCAGATTGAGAGTGAGGCGGTCACCCTTCAGGGACTGGGGGGGTGACGTGGAACCCCCAAAGGAGGCTGAGGAGCAGGAAGGGTGCGCTCAACTGGTAACTACTGCGGACAGGTCGGTTGGGTGAGGGTGGAGCTTTGCCTGCCGCAGTCAGAGCTCCATGGATAGTTCTCTCTCTTGCAGCTGCCCGGGACCAGGTCATCGAAGAGTACAGAGCGACCGCGGAGCAGGCCGTGTCTGTCCGACAGCAGGCTGCCGTACGTGCTGGCTTTTCTGCTCTTTCTTCGGGGAAGCGAGCTGCCCCTGGTCATGGTCAGGGTTTTCCTCAGATATCAGGAGGGCTTATCCTATGCCTCAAATCAAGTGCCTTTGTCATTCCAGCTCATTTTGGCTTGTCAGTTAGTGCCTGCCTCATTTTGCCCCGAAAAAGTTTATAGGGTAATTCCTCTTAGATGATTCCTGCCACTGTGTTTATAGTAAATATACCATTCCGCCTGACTAGCAGTAGACAGGGTATTGAAGCCTGTTGTGTGCCCCTCTGTCCTACTAAATGTTCCCCCCACCCCACCCCCGAGTACACACGCTGGAGTGCTCACCTGCCTGTCTTCAATGGCCCGATGTCACTCTCCAGCTAGGACTTTATCCCACCTGGCACTGGCCCCGCCTCAGTCTCCCAGCCAGCATCCCTCTCCCATCCCTGAACCGAGTTTTACAGCACAGTGGGCAGCTGAGCCCCTAGCAGTGCAGTCACCCCGGAGGCACGCAGGATTATCTCCTCTCATATACTTCATGCTTCCTTCCTGTGGGTGTGTTCGATCTACAGCTCGAAAACACTGCCAAGAAGAGAGAGCGAACAACAAGTGACCCAAGGACCACAGAACAGAAGCAAGAGAAGAAACGACTCAAAATTTCCAAGAAGCCAAAAGACCCGGATTCTCCAGAAAACGAGTTTACCCCTTACGACTACAGCACATCGGATTTCAAGGCTTTTGCTGGTGAGGCCAGATCTGGGGCCCCAAAAGGAGTGTCTGGCCACGTTAGATGGAAGGAGACTAAAGAAAGCTCCGCTGAGGCACAGACAGTCCTGCCCAAGGCGTGGCGCTCACTAAAAATCAGAGTAATCCAGAGAATCAGCAGTGACGAGACAAACGCACCAGCCGGCACTGCCACCTGCGGCCGCTGGCGCTAACTTGTTCCAGCCCCTAGAGTGGCTT